AAAAATTTATAAAAACCCCCCCCCCCCGGAAGTTAATCAATTTTTTTGCCCCCCCCCCCACCTTAGAAAGTTTTCTGGGGGTGCCCATGGCCTAATGCTATACCCGGTAAATAGTAAATCCACCTCTGTGCTTACTTAATGATATACATATTTAAATCGTTCCCTGTGCTTGGTGATACACATTACAGAAAAGTGATGATAAATTGAAGGGGAAAAAAAGTATAATTGAAACATTTAAAATTTTATTTTATTTATTAATTCTCATAAAAGTTGATAAAACATTGAAATAATGAGTTATATACAAACATTGTTAAATTATGTTTAATAGTTTCAACATAAATCTCAGCAAAGTCACCAGTTTAATATGCAAACACCCACTTGACAACAACGATGTGACTGTATAGTTTAGTTATTTGTAAAATAACATACATGTATCAAAGTGGCTTCCCGCCCATTTGAAGTCACGATTCACTAAGTAAATTATTTGATTACACAAAATAATACTTGAAGGGACAGTCCAGTGGTCCTCAGCCTAGGAGCTAAAACATATGAATGTCAACTCCATTTTAGCCAACACCTTTCAAGTAAGTGAGGGGGTCAGTAGCCATATTTTGAGTTCCTGCTTATTCATATTCTTCTTGAACATCATTTGTATGTATGGCATGTTGACAAGCCTACAGGAGACCCTGTCAGGAATGTATGGCATGTTGACAAGCCTACAGGAGACCCTCTCAAGAATGTATGGCATGTTGACAAGCCTACAGGAGACCCTGTCAAGAATGTATGGCATGTTGACAAGCCTACAGGAGACCCTCTCAAGAATGTATGGCATGTTGACAAGCCTACAGGAGACCCTTTCAAGAGTTCCTTCTTTCCCTGCACCTTACAATAAACCAAGAGCTTGCATGTCTCGTCTCAACCAATAACCTAGGTAGGCTATGACACCAGTCCATTCAGTTGTCGGTGACACAATAGCCCAGTGTTTGCATGAGTTGTCTCATGCAATAAGTTCTAGTTATGATGACACCTCTCCATTAAGTTGTCACACATTGGTATCACTTCTAAACACTAAAAAACAACTTTTGGTTCTCTTAAAAATCTTGGTTCAATATTTTATAAAACACATCAAATGTTGAAATGTTAAAATGCAAGAAATGGTCCAACAAAGACTACCAGTGGTATACATTACAGTTAGTGTGATACAAAGACATCAACAGTCATGAAGGTAAAGAAATAAACTAAAGGCAAAGTGACAGAAAGAAAGACAATGGAGGAAACAAACAAGAAAATCAATATTGCTTTCTTTATAGTCATGATGGTAGGGAAGGACTTTAAATTGTGTTTACTGCCGGTCCAGTCTGGACAAAAAGTCTGACTATTTATTCCAAGTTTATCATAATTATAATAATTTATAATCATGGCCCTTCAAAGCTGCCATTAAAATGAACACAAATAGTTTTCTCTAAAAATATTTATGGACACTTAAAAAATTTACTGTTAACCAGTAAAATCTAGAGCAAAAAAAATATTTTTTTTCAGAATGTTTGAAATGGAGCAAGGTTGATAGATCCTTTCTGTGTAGGAAAAACTATTTTATGAAAGTAAGTTAAACAATTTGTGACATTGTGGTTAAGGGGTGGATACAAAATTATTCATATTCCAATTCCTTTACTTTTATTTAACAAGAAAAATGACCCAACACATTGTGTTCTCTTGAATGGTCTTTTTCATGATTCAAGCATCAACAAAATATAATTGTTAAACCTTGCAAAGATTTTTGATTCAACATCCCATCAATACCCTGCAACACAGGATGACAAACCAACATTACAAATGAGCTCTCTTTATAATGACATACAACTGGAAGAAACCTTCAATCCCACACAAGTTGGTGTTCAGTACAGACATTTTTTTTGTTCAACAGTAGATATGACTTGGGCTTACAGACTGGAAAACTAAAATACATTTGCTTGTAATGTAAACAATATGTCAACAAGCTTCATGAGTTATCAACAGAAATTAAAATATGTACACATGACTGATGGGAGGAAACAAACAATTTTTCCGACTCTTGATTTTTCCCTGGTGTTAACCAGCACAAAAACTATACACCTCTGTACAATATTTACATACAACTGTAGAGTGAAATGGATGGGAACTCGTTGACGTTTATGTCTTGACCATGTTAGCCAGTGAAACAAAATATGAGGCTGTAAAGTCCAAGTGTGACGACACAGTTCTACCACATTTGAATCAGAAAGGATAAGACGTTTGGTTTATTACTGGAATATTTCAAGTCCTAACTGTTCATGTATGTGAAAATAACATGGGAAGAATGGAAATAAACCTCAGAGTTAATGACTAGTGGAAGCAGAAACGGATAGAATACAGAGAAGAGTAGGACACACTTGAGAAAATTACTATTTTTCCTGCTCATGATTATGTCTGTGAGGCAGTGGTTCTCAACCATTGTGACATGTTAAACCCTATTTAGAATCAATTTTTTTTTTTGGGGGGGGGGGGGGGGAGCCCCTTGGTTTTCCCTTTTGTTTAACAAGATAATAATTTTTAAAATTTTTTTCTCAACCATTGTGAAATGTTAAACCCTATTTAGAATCAATTTTTTTTTTTGGGGGGGGGGGGGAGCCCCTTAGGTCTACCCTATGTCTCACAAGATAATAATGTTTAAAAATTTTCCTGGATTTGTTGTGGAGCCCCTGAGAAGAGTGAACACGGAGTACAGGTTGGGAATCACTGGTGTAAGAAGTTTTAGGTCAGGAAGGATTATACATACATGGATAACTTGAATCTGAAAATAACCAACAATTGATAAATGATGGCCATGTGATACTTTGTAGATATTTTTTTTTCTTATGGTCTTGGAACAATTTATTCTAAATGTTTTTCACTATATCAGTCATTAAAAAATATCTAAGGAGATAATGAACTTATATACAAGGCATCATAAATATTTGTACGACAGATGAGGCATATACAGTAGTTTCTTTCAGACCATTTCCTAATTCCCGCTGCCATTTTCTATTTATTACATGAATAATCAATACCATTTGATTACTAATAATGAAAAAAAAATCAGACCAAGAAAGAAAATGCTCTGATCTTTTTCTTCTTAAATGAAAGTTTGTGAAACAATTTCTTATTTATTTTCCTTATATCCAAAGGTTACTTTCATGAATACCTGGTCAAGTAATGAAATGAAGCAGTTACATATTGTACTGCTTATTCATGTACAAGCAAACATGTGATAGCTTTCTGAAATATGCTAACAGCTGCTCTCTAGTAACATTTCTAGTTAAAGATGATTTTAAAAAAAAAAAAATGTACAATAATTTTTAAAAAATAAAAAATGGTTTTCATTCTGTTAATATTACGCCCATAACAAATGCGCAACATTTAACCAATAGATTTTAAACATGAAAAGTAATGTAAAAACATACGATGAAATCAATAAGTTTGAAATATGAAATTATGTACATGATGAGAATGTAATGTGCAGCTTTGTGTGATGGGAACCAATACATTGCAGTAGCTACTGGTTAGGTTGATTTGTATGTATAGCCTGATGAAGGTGACCAACTAGCCACATGAATATGGGTGAAGAGGGGGATGACATCTGTCCAACTCATGACATTGAAATCATTTAGGGGAACAGAGTCTTCTGTACATTACAAACAAACTAAACACTGCTCAATTTAAAATAACACCCCCCCCACCCCCCCACAATTTTATAATAATCACCACATGTTATTTAATAGTGATTATTTCAACATGTTACAAATACAATCAGTCAAAACAGTAACTTACTTAAAATTTTTTTTTTTTTTTTTAAATACATTTCCCAACAGATAACTTTGGTGCCCTAATTGAAATCTGATCTTCTAACAGTGAACTTAATATTTGAGTAAAACTTTGGGATTGGCTTGTGGGCTGTAGCGACTTAAAATTGAGATATATAATTAGAATTTTCTTGTTGACTTCCATTAGCCTTCACTGCCATCCTCTACTTTCAACTTTTTCACAACAGTGCCTGGTTTTCTGTGGAGAAAATTTCATTTTCAGCTTTCGAAGAGAAATAAATAGTGTAGCTGTGCATTTTTTTTATTAAAGTCTGCAAAAGTACTGGATATTTTATGTCCAACATGCATCTCATTTACTTTCTCACTGTCAGGACAAAAATCCTTTTAGTTGTTTTAAAATGTTTCGTACAATTTCATTGTAAATTTTGATTAGTTACTGTGGCAGGCTCATTCTAAAACTTCAAATAGCTTTAAAAATAGTTTGATGTGTTCAAAGTTGACCAATTTAGAATATAAGCGGAATGATGTTTTTAATTTTTTTTTCCCTTTTAATAAGTTCACATGAACATGTAATAACTTAAACTATATATTCCTTTGCTTACAACGCATTCACCTATGTATGAATGGTTGAACATTGAATTGACCATCATTTTCATATATGACAGTACCCTTGTAAATAACTATATATCTGAACCATTAAGTCTGCGTCTAAGGAAATCTACTTACACATTTTCTGTTCCTTGTCTCTTGGCACCTTTCCCACCAGCTGCTGGACTTTGTGAGGCATCTGTGCAAAAATAATTGAGTTATCATCATCCATGTCATTAACATTGTTTAGGCTTTTAAATCATTTTATGGATTGATGCAATCATTGATTCTCATTGGACAATTAGTATCAGGGAGGCCACATTCAGAAAATAGATTGACTCCTAGTAAAACTACATATTTAATACATTTTAAACCTCAAATGCTCAAATCATTGGTTCAATGGTACCAAAGCAAGATGATTTGAGGGATATTAAGTTTCTAAATAATTTTTTTCTCCTTTACCTTGTAGCCACCTCACTTGTGTGGCAGGACCGTAACCTTTCTCATTGCGGGCTGCAATTCTGAAAATGATTGCAGGCTTTGTTGTGTAATCAATGTGTGCAGATGTCAAAGATGAGTTGGTTACCACGCATGAGGGCAAGGGTCCACAGAAGACTCGCACAAATGCAAGCTGTGCTGGGGCTCCTGGCTTCGTGTCTTGGCTTTGGTTCCGTACGGCCAAATAGACAGAGTATTCAATGATTTTACCAGCTGTATTCTGAGGTGGCTCCCAGGAAAGATGTGCTCCATCTCCACTCTATTTGAGAAACAATTGTTAATTTATTGAGGTAAACAGTCCATTTATATCTTTTATCTAAGTCATACATAAATAAGATTTAAAATAACTGATGACAGATTTGTCTGAATTTTATGATGCAAGCTTTTTCTCTGTGTTTAATATTATGATTAAGGCTTAATTATTTCTGGTCAAAAGTTCATTAAGGAACAATAATTGTATGATTAATTTAATTTTATTTAAAGTATTCAACAAATACGTTATAAAAAAAAAAAAACAGAATATTTTAAAAGAAATATAACGTGTGAAAGCAAAATCCCAACAAATTTTAAATGTGCAAGTGAGTTTAAGTTTATCAGCGTTAAATTATTTTATAACAACTTTTATTTCATAACAACTTTCCAATAATCTGACCTTGCTAATTTTAATGGCTGACGGAGCTCCTGGGAAGCCAGGGAGGCATGTTTTGAAAGCTGAAACCTCACTGAATGGTCCACGACCACAGGCATTGATGCCTGCTACTCTGAATTTATAGGCTGTACCCGGCTGGAGTTCCTGACGCTTCAGTGCGCTGTGGTCAGGAACATTGACCACATCAATATCCTTGGTGAAGAAAATGTATACTTTTATAAATGTTTCGACTCGCTGGCCATACATTGTTAAACTTCATTATTAAAAGCATGTTTGATTGACTGTATTATACTTGAAATTTCTTCATGAACCGATAGAATCTATAAAAGAATAACCACTTTAAATGTATCCCATATTGAACAACAACACCCCCCCCCCCCAGTCATCTTGACAAAAGTTTAACAACTGCTTTCTACAATGACATTTCTTCAATATTTTGTTCTACTTCATTATTAAAAGCATGTTTGATTGACTGTATTATACTTGAAATTTTTTCATGAACCGATAGAATCTATAAAAGAATAACCCCTTTAAATGTATCCCATATTGAACAACAACCCCCCCCCCCCCCCAGTCATCTTGACAAAAGTTTAACAACTGCTTTCTACAATGACATTTCTTCAATATTTTGTTCCAAAACACAAAATTATCTAAAGATCTTACAGTGATTATAAAATGGCTATTTCCTCTTTTTAACAGGTAATGAAAGTGTTCCAAAGACAATAAAAGTAATCCCAAAGACAAAACTACACTTACATCAGCATTCCCCTGACTATTCTCTGATGGTAAATGGTAATGTGACACTGTGCAAGATGTGGTCTTGATAAAACCAACATCAAACCACTGTTGCTGGTCTCTCTTCACTAAAATTCTCTCCTGCTTCATCTCTGGCTTTAAGTCCTCCAGCTTAATGTCGGTGCTGCCCACACTTGCATCAGAGGTTTTAGGAGTAGCAACAGGTGCAGAGGAGATGGCAGCTGAAGCTAGAGTAGCCAAAGGATCTGTAAGGGCAAACATCCAGTCTTGATAATTGGTGGAAGAAAAAATCATCAATGAGAAATGATGTGATTACTTAGTGCAATGTTGGTATAAGTGAAGCCAAAAAACTCCCTGTAATTTAATGAATCAGTCAGTCATATGCACTGTAACTAAATGAATCAGTCAGACACATGCACTGTAACTTAATGAATCAGTCAGACACATGCACTAACTTAATGAATCAGTCAGTCAGATGCACTGTAACTTAATGAATCAGTCAGTCACATGCACTGTAATTAATGAGTCAGTCAGTCACATGCACTGTAACTTAATGAGTCATTCAGTCAGTCTAATAACTGATTTTACTATTTTTTAAAACTCAGAAGCTCCTAAAATATTCAAGAGTTCATTAAAAATCCTATGGGATCTATGGTTACTAATCAATCTTTTCTGTGACATTAATTTTTCAATAGTTCATCCGGAAAGAGTATTAATCATAAAATGGTAATCACCTGTAGCATCTCCACTATTGTTGGAAGCATTGGCCAAAGTTTGAGCCAGTGAGGCGAGTGTCTCATCCGAGGGTTCCTCTTTCGGTTCCAACTGTGACGTGCCATCTGATGTGTCCATTGCATACGCCGCATCAGCTGGAGCTGCTTCTGGCTGATTTAAGTCTAGATCAGGTTTTGTTTCTGGAGGCTCATCCCCAGGCTGGGGGGACAACTCTGAAGCTTCACATGCAGCTGCATGGCTTGCAGCATCTAACACCGCTTGTTGAGCAAGCACTCCTTCCAGACCAACGCCATCCATGTCTCCATGATCTTCCAGCATACCCTGAGCGGCAAGAACTCCCACACCACCTGCTTGAGCTAAAGCTTCTAGTGCACTTTCAGCTTGTTGCTGCAGCTCTGCATCAGTCATTTGGTGAGCATCACCCTCCTCCTGTAAAAATAGACATGAAACAGACTTTGCATAAAAACCGAGTTCAATTAGTTTTCTAAGTTCCCATCCTCAGCTTTCAGATATTTAGATGGAGCTTTATCAAAATAGCAAATGAATCTCTAACAATTATCTTAGAACACAAACATTCTCAAGCATTTAAAATAAAAAGCCTAAAGCAAGAGACAGTCATACATATCTTATCTTTAAATGTGTTAATAGCCCACGTGCTCAGGTTAGAACTAAAAACAAGCCAAGTATCAAAATAATCTTTTACCTGTGCCAAGAGTGATGGTTCCAGATGTCCAACATCGCTATGCAAACTCTCATCCATAGCCTGTCCCTCACCAGCCGCTTCTGTTCCTGGCTCTGTGCCAGGCTCCTCTTGAGCATCACCGTGTTGACCACCAATGTCCATATCGGCCTCATGCTGTTCCTCTCCACCTTCATTTGTATTCATTTCACCTTGCTCTTGAGCTCCTTGGTTATCTGTTTCACCGCCTTGCTCTTCTCCCCCTTCTTCCTTATCACCACCACCATCTCCCAACCCATCATCATTGGTGCCATCAAACTGAGGAAGCATGAAGTCATCATTTTCCTGGAGTGATTCTTCTGTCATAGCATACAGATGATCCTCTGAACAGGTTATAGAGCACGCCTCGCCAAAGAAATCTGCATCCTCTTCAAAATGTCCGTTGTCTTGAGGTAAACAGCTTAACGAAAATGCTGACCACTCTGACATATTAAACCCTGACCCATCAACTTCGACCTCACCATCTTCTAAGACATCATCATCTGCTGATCCATCAAACTGCTGGATTCCTCCATCACCATCGGCTTGGGCTGCTCCATCTCCAAGAGATTCTCCAGTTAAAGCCTCAGACTGATCTCCGGCACCTGTGATAGGTGCATTTACTGTGACGACCTGGGCAGTTGTGTTTCCACCCAAACTCACAACTTGTGTGCCATTGGCTGCTGTGGTACTAACAACAACCGGCTTGGCTACTTGTCTCAGATTAGACGGTAGCGTGATGGTGTTGATGCCACCTCTGTTGGCAGGGGTGATGGTAATCTGCACGGGACCCTTTGCTCCAGACAAACCTGCATGTCCAGCTGGAACTGTGACTATCTGTCGGCCTCCGCTTGCTGACGCCTCATTGGCTGCTTGTGTGATGAGAGAAATTGTTGAAGCATTGCTGCTAACCACACGCATGGTAGGGGATGAGACGACCGTGTGACCACCTGTCGGAGTCACAGAGTGTGTGCCAGTAGAAGAGCCTGTGGATAAAATAGTGCGGAACGACTTCTTACCTTGGGAAGAGAAAATGTTTTTATATATTCAAATAAGAAGAAGCAATTTTTGCTGAGAATCACATTATTTATTTTAAAGGATGGAATAGCTAACAACATGCAGCAGGCAATAATCAACTTGTTTGTCAAACATAATCCATCAATGAAATTAAATAAGATAACACTCAGCATGCTTTGTTAAGCTGGAAGCAGATTTTCCAATACCACATGAGGAAATGAAATCAACTTTTAAAGCTGAAGCCAAAAGATTTTTGATAAAGTGATATCAAAAATCTTTTGGTTTCAGCTTTAAAATGTTCAGGAAACTGAAGGAATGTTTTTAAAAATATATAGAAAGATTAGACCACTTACATGGATGCACAATAAAATGAAAATACTGAAATCGCCCTGGCATTGGAAATACTGCCCCAATATAATGTACACTTGAACCAGGTATGTCTTAAAATGCCACTCACCGCCAGATAGCACAGTAATGACAGGTTTGCCAGCCTGAGAGATGATATTTCCACCAGAAGTAAAAGAAGATATGGCAGATATAGGCTTATTCCCTAGAAGAAATAAAAGGGATATCATTAGACAAAGTTAAATTAACACACATTTAAATGTAAAATTGATTTTATTTCTCAACTGGTAGTTGGCCTGTACTGGGCAATTAAGATCTTTAAAAAAGCATATTTATTGGGACACCCATATACAAAATATGACAGCAAGCAATTTGTAAAAATTACTTACCAGCAGCAACAGCCCCTGCCACACTTTGTGGGCTAACAACAATGAACTGAGTGTTCCCCGACTGTCCAGCCAATTTGGGAACACTAGTTATAATCTTTGTAGGCTGGTTAAGGTTTCCTGCAGTTCCCTTGGGTGCAGCAATGACAATTGTCTTTGTGCCCACTGGTGTGGTAGTTACTCCTTGCGTTGTCGCTTGACCTGTCTTGGCCATTGACAACATGGATGTTGGGATGGTTCGAATCATGGTGGTGAGAGTCTTCTGGCCAGGTGTTGTCTGTTGCTGTTAAAATATTGAGATCAAAATAACTTCAGCACCAAAATATCTCATCTACACTAAGGTTAGTAATCTGGTTAGAATGACTGGCTAACAAAAGGGAGACTCGTGATTTTGAATATTTATATAAATTCAAATTTCAAATTGAATGATTTTTTAAAAAATATGGTTATTGTAAAGTATTATAAAACTTGCCTTGAAAAAATAAACATTTTAATTTGAGGGCCCAATTTATAGAAAAAGCGCATAAATTTAGCAATTACCAAGCAGAAACTACACGAAAACAAGTTGACAGATTGTTGAAAATTTACTGCAAGTCTACATAATGCCATTCTATTGTTCTACAAGTGTTTTTTTAAATATCTTTCATAGATAATTTTTTAATGATTTTGTTTTTGATAACCAGCAAGTGTACCAGGCGGAACAAAATAAATTATCACACCGAAGTATAAAAAAAATGTCAAAGAATAAAGATTTCACGAAATCCAGTTTTATACAACCAAAACATTTTATGATGTATAAGATACAGAAATGTTAAGGAATTAAACTAACACTAATTCTAAATAAAACCATATTGCCTTTTACAAATATATTTTTAAAAAACAACGCAAGCCAATGTTGTTGATAGTGTTGTGACCAGTGTTGTAGATACTGCAATTAGAATGTAGGAAAATGGTAGTGCTAGATAGTTAAATTAAATATAGCCACAAATGATTTTGGTGAAAATCTATTCATCAGAGGTACAGGCTAGATAAATGTATAAAATGTCATTATTTATTATAGTAATAATAGTTATAGTAGGGTGGATCAATGCTGAATCAGCCAGATCCTGTCAATGTTTGCTTCACCAGTTTTTCTTAAAGCAGTGCATCAAACGTAGGGAAAAGTACCAGTGGAACATAAAAGCACTTTTTAGTGAGAAATAATATTAAAGTTGGGTTTCAGTATAAAATTTGGAAAAGCAGAAATTGCAATTAAATAATGGTTACACTGATATGCATGTAAACAGTCGTAACCTTTTCATGTAACCCTAATCTATAAGAACGACACTCACACTTGGCTGCACGCTGCTGATGCCTAATATTGTTGGTGTCTGACCACCGGACTGAGTGGACAAAACTGTTGCAGGTTTGTTGATGCCCCCTGCTTGTGTAGTCACTAGTTTAACTATTGTAGCCCCTTGGGGGAGAGGATTTTTGGGCTGGAAATAAATGTTAACAATATATGTAATGCTTTGATGAATGGGTAAAATATTTTACGAGGCACTAATTCTGATGATCTTCAATTTTATGAATCCCTTAAAACATTTGTAGCCAATTCAGACAGTCATAAATTTCATAAGAGCAAAATTAAAATTTATTAAAAACTTTTATAATGTAACGGTGATATCTGTCACTAAATAATGAGAATAATAATAAGAAAAAGCAAAGTATTATCTTACACTAGCCATAGCCATTCCTTGAGTTGTCTTCACAAGTGTTACAATCTGTGACTGACTGGAACCTGTGCTGCCTGCTTTATGAACAGTGATGATTTGTTTGCCAGAGAGATTGGTACCAGAACCAGAAGCTTTCAGTATAGTTGCCCCTGTTGGTGCTACACGAACTGTCTGTGTGCCAGGCGCAATGGTACTGGCTACAAAGCCAAAAAACACAAAATACATTTTCAGATGAATTAAGGGCTAGAAAATCAAGAAAACATGCATGCCTCGGAAAGGCAGGTATTGAGCTCAAGTTTATCAAAATTATTATAACTTTTTCATGACAGAAAAATTTTTAAATAAAAAGGGGACTTTAAATGTCAACAACCTTTATTTAAAATATCAAAGTGCCACAAAATAAATATTTATATAAAACCTACTTGGCAGTTTCCCTCCAATGGGTGTAACTTTAACACCGCCAGGGGTGACAATAGTAGGAGTGACAACCTTGATACCTGATGCTGGTGTTGAGGTGGCACTGGCCATTGTGCCTGGTATCTTCTGGGTGGCAGCAGCTGCAGCAGCAAGGGCAGCAATGCCCGACATTGTTCCAGTGGTCTAGTGACAGAAATAAAATATTACTGATAACTGTTTACTTGGCTGACCACTGACACAAGACCAAGAGAAAAAACAAAGCATACAAAGTTTTCAAATCGAAGTTTATTTTTATTAACTTTTTTTAGAACTTTAAAAAAATAAAAAATAAATGTATTTAAATAGGTTGGAAAATCAACAAGATTCTAATGAATCCAATACACAATGCATGCAACACATTATATCTGACCAACAACTGTTTAAAAATAGAAGGACAATTCAAAACTTTTCAAATGAAAATTAAATATTGAGGTAAATTTTACCGTTGTAACATTAGGAACACGCTGAAGAGTTTGACCCATATTAGCCATTTGAGGAGTTGCTACACGAATTGTGTTTGCGACAGGTGTGATGGTCATTGGAGCTCGAATTCGTGGAGCTGCTGTGACTGCAATAAATTGAAGGAAAAAACACATGATATTTAATAAAACAATCTGAGTGCGTTTCTAACAAATTCTGAAAACAACAAAAATCCTCAAGACTTAAAATAATTTGGATAGTTTAAATATTCATGTTTCCACATAGTAAAAGTTTATTTAATATCTTTAACAGCCGACTGGTATAATAAGGCATTTAAAGTTTTTAATGGTAATTGGTAAATAGATTGAAACGCAATGTTTCAAGGGTAAATTCTGGTCTAATGTAACATAAAAAACATGCTACAATATTTTATAAAATATGCAATATTCAATCAGAGCTTACTACAGTTAAGCAGCATATATTTTTGTTTGGTAAACTCATCAGATAAAATCAAAATAAACTGAAGTGGGGAAAAAAAACAATTTAAAATATTTCCACCACCTCCACCTGGGTACTAGACTCTAATGCAATACAATTTTAACAATAAAAACAAATGAACAGCTACAATCTCTATTTATAAGTAATCAACTTAAATTAAATTTATTATAGAGAACAAATTAATTTCAAAATGATAGATAAGGCAACATTGACTTTTGATGGACTTTTAGAGTAATTTCACGTTATAAACATGTTTGACTGATATTTCGTTACATTTAAAGCTTAGCATGCATTGCCATCTCACTACTATCTATAGTATCTGTCATAAAGAATTATTATTTTGAAAATCAAGAAAAATCATATATTATGATCACTATCATTAAAAAAAAACCCTACATAATATCTCTAAATGTTCTGTCAGTTTTATTTTCTTTAAAAGCTACCAGGTAGAAGAAAATGTTTTAACATTTGTAAACACTTTTAACAATTATTTGATGACTAAATTTTTTATGTCCTAAACTCATTTGAATGGTACATTTTAATTCTGAAGGCCCCCAGTGAACTATGTTCATTCAATCAAACAATTATTTGTTTAGGAATTAAAAAGTAAAAATGAATTAACGTGTATAAAAGCAATTTTAATCAATACATCTTTTGTGTATGAGATATATTTAAAAATGTGGTATTGTCTGGGGACAATGCATAATAGATTAATTGATAGGGCTAATTAAAAAATGTTTTACTATAATATTTTATTTAAGAGTCAAACTGGTTTTTTAACATACTAATAAGAACCTATAAGACAAAAAAAAAAAAAGCAGATAATGAAAATGACAATGCAATTTAACAGCTGTCCTCCAAAAATCCACAGGACATATTGCTTATTAAGTCATACTTTGGGACATGCAGTTGATATGACATATTAAAAATTTTTTACTATAATATTTTATTTAAGAGTCAAACTGGTTTTTTAACAAACTAAAAAGAACCTAAAAAACAAAAAAAAAAAAAAAGCAGATAATGAAAATGACAATGCAATTTAACAGCTGTCCTCCAAAAATCCACAAGACATATTGCTTATTAAGTCATACTTTGGGACATGCAGTTGATATGACATATAAGGGTATACTTCTACCTCTGATGGTTTGTGTTGTGTGACCAGGGGTCAATGGTGACACCACACTAGTTACTGTACGAATAGGTAAGCCTGAGAGGATGGAAAGCATTTATAACAAACGTATCTGCTGCGTTACAGATATTTTATAAAGATCATTGCAATGTTATCCATGGGTTCAAGCTTTAAAATAAGACAGCAAGTAACAAAACTTCTTAGCGAGAAAACAATTTGCACCCCCAGTATCAAAATATTCCTTTCTGTTAAAATTAAGAATATGATTAACATTTTAATTGGCCTATACTTACATAGGCATTACGAAATGAAGGCTAATAGTGTGCAACAACAAAGTAAAATTCTACTAGTGGTGTTACAGAAAGCAAAATCTACTGTCAATTACTTCTTTACAACAAAAAAAAACTAAAATGAAAAGTAAATAGTAATCTGAAAGTTTGGATTATAAGAATAAAATATAAAATAAAAATAACTCGTCCGAAATGCTAATATCTGACTTTGAACAAAAGGATGGCTATTAATATAGTTTCAATAAAACCAACCTGTAGTAGGTGTGCGAATTATTCCCCCTGGTGGCCCAGTTATTTGAAATTGTGGTCTTGTCTGAGTCATTGCTGCAGTTGGTGCTATGGGTGTGGGAGCTGCCACAGGTGCTGCAACAGGTGGCGTTGGTGCAGGTGGAGCAGGAGTTGCAGTAACTGGGGTTGGCACTGGTGTCCCAGCAGCAGTAGTTGCGGATGGTGGTAAATCATATTTTTGTAGTTGAAGTAAGTATGCATCAGCTGTAGGCACAGCTCCCCAAGACACTTCCAAGGTATTGGTACTTGCTCTGACCAACTGTACGCGGGAAGGAGCTGGTGGTTTCTCTGGTTCAAATTAATACAAAGAATCAACAACCATAAACCCGAAGAAAAAAATAATAATATTCCTTCAAAAGCTACTTTACACACCATATTTCGAAACCTGTGTCATCTCAAAACACTCTAGGACTTATAATACAAATATAATTTGATTTTGAACAATAATTTAATGAAAATTAAATTATCAGAACAAATTTCATTGTATCAATTATCATTCCAATATTGTAAATTTATCCCTTGTAAAAAATAAAACTAAAAGCTATATTAAAAGTATGTTGCACAAAAAATTGTAAAATGCCACTTAAGAAAACAGAACAGAAAAAAGATACACAAAGAAGCAAGCTGTCACTAACCTGTTTCCAAAAACCACAAGTCTTTGAAGCAAACCTATGGTGGAAAATAAAAGCATTTTTAGTCACCAGCATAACAAACTGAACAATACAAACGTTATAAGGACAAAAAAATTGAAAGATTAATATTAATTTAATAGCGCGGCATACCTGATTGTTCCAAGCTTTCCTATAACCATCTCGACCACTCCAGATATAAAGTCTTGTATTTATGGCAACAGCACAATGACCAGCTCTTGCTCGGGGTAAAGCATCCTCAAAAACTTCCATTGCCAATGGTTCCCAACCCATAGTTTCTAAGATTTTATAAAAATACCATCTTAATTTTACAACAAAAAAAAATCAAATAAAAAATTCAATTTAAATGAAGATGTGATTAGCATTTGTCACTTTTCCTACACATATAACTTAGAACCAATCAAATGTATACCCCCACACTAACAGAAAAGAAAACAAAAATACAAACCTAAATTTAAGGATGCCAAAGTATTGGTACACTTCCATTCTTTCTCGTGTGTTGCAACTTTAACGTCATCCATAACAAGGGGTACCCATCCGCCAAATACAAACATACGAGAGCCAATAACAGTAGCAGAATGAAGACTCCTAGGCAAAGGCGGCATGCCTGATACTGTAGGCTGAACCCAGGCCATAGTCTCTGTGAAAAGAATTATCATTTAATACAATTAAAATAAATTCTACACATCCTGTTATGTTTTTAAAATTATTAGAAAATAATTCATATGAACGCAAAATTTATCTATAAAACAAAATTGTATTTGCAACTTGTTCATTACCTGCATCAAGCATCCACAGATCACCAAGTCTACAGCCACTCATACCACCATAAATGAATAGTCTAGGTCTCCTTCCATCTTTCTCTGTGTATGGTGCGGCAGAATGAGATTCACGTGGTGGTGGTGGTACACCAACGATATTTGGCAAGTCCCATGACAGTTGATTAGATGGTGGGCGCAACTCCAGAGTGTATAAATCATTCAAATATCTGCAATAAAAATATCATGAAAGGAATTAATTTTGACATGAATGACCTCTTAAAAAGTTTAACAAATACATAATAACATGTGTCCCACCAAACTATTTTTAAAGTAACTTGCCTGGGAATGTTATTCTTGGGATCTTCACTGTCATTAGCAAGTCCACCAAACAGATAGCCCTTATTACCAAGAAGTGTAAAACTGTGACCTAGAAAAAGAGATGTCATGGGAAGAAAATGGTACACTCTGTTAAATAATTTAAGAACAGTGATCTGCATACTAAATTAATAAAATTTCTTAGTAATGTTAGGCGGCGAGTTCCTTGGCAGGGGTATATCGGACAATTTTTTTTTATATAATGAGAGGGTCAATGGCAATGAGTAGGACCACCTTCAGATCTTTAATACTGTAGATAAATAAAATTACCTAAACGTGGGCAGGGTGGTGATCCTGCTTTGGGTGCTTTTGGTTTGAGCCTTTTCCATTCCCATCGTGATGCTTGAAGTTCATACAGTTCATTTGAATATTTTCCATACTCCACCATGCCACCAAAGACAAGTATTCTGGTGCCATCACAAATAAACCCATATGCAGCACAGCCAGGGGGAATATCACCTCTGACAGCTGGAACAAACCACTGGTTGGTTGCTGAAAAATTTTAATACAATTATAAAACTAGGTAAACTATATCTGAAAAGTGTCCCGTGTCTTATGTCTACATATCAAATTATTTTTTCAAACACCTGCCCTCATCAACCCATAGAGCAGACTAGTTTATAGGGAAATGTAAGGAGCTATGACAATACTGTAAAAAATTCTACTGAAGTCCACATAACTGTCCTGAAGGCTACATGATGTGTGTTCCCCAATTTCATTTCGTGCATGGGTTTTTACTGTTTCCAATCACCAGGGCAGTTACTGTAGTACATTTATTTTACATTAATATTTATATCACTGTTCCAATTTCACTTATTTATTTAAAAAAAAATAACATATACATATTTTAAAAAAAAATTATTTCAACAAACAATTTTTTAAAATCAGGCCTATGAGAACTAATTGATCTGACTTGGCATTAAACCAACCATTGAAAGCACTTATTGGGAAAGAAAATAGGGCATGGAGGATCTATTTTACTCCTAGTGTTAGTATATTAATGGCTATATTATATAGGCTCAGGTCAGGTGCCTTGAATTTATTTCTTTACAAATAAATTTTAATGGATTTTGTTTTAGGCATACTATTATTTATTGTGTGTAGCCTACTTAATGAATAAAAAAATTAAGTAACATTTAGACCTAGGGACTATTGACAATTGTTGTAATGAATTTCCCTATGCCTACTTGAACTTCAATGGTTGAAATAATAAGTGGAATAAAAATTAATTGGATGACTTTTGCCTACAGAGCAGGCCTATCACAAAATCGTTCACTAAAATTTAAAAAAAAAAAAAATCACAACAAAATAATAATAATTTAGCTACAACCATAAATTTGGTATTAATGAATTTCTTTTTTCATCAGTCCATATCTAACCAACTAGCTTTAAAAGTAAAAGTTAAATAACTTTATTCTGAATTTTTTTTCCCCAAGTACCTACTACAGTGCCTACTTTGGAAAAACTAAGTTATCTCTTTCCTGTCCAAGAAGTGGTAAACTATGAGATGAGACTATGACTATATTTTATATGGCTATACTATAAATATGGTAGGCCTAAACAACTATTTTTACAATCAGCAACTGCATGTTTAATTATACTGAACAAACAGTACCACTTCCTTACTCAAACTGAGTGACAGTGACTGAGTTATGACTTATGACTAATACTAATATTATAAATATTTATTTATTTATTTAGGCATTTTTATATAGCGCTTATCATAAAGCTCTAAGCGCTTTACAATTATTAAAACATGTGAACTAAGTAAAATAAAAATGAGACACTAGGATAGTAACTACTATCTTTATATTGCTAAAACTACTGAATGGCCAGAGTAGTAAGTAATTAGTAGTATATTTTCATGTTGGTCAAATACCAAATTGTAAAATTGGCTTTTATTTAGAATTTTAAATTATAATTTTGAATTGATCCACATATGAGGTTATCATCCAATATTTTAATCATCCAGTGTCCAGGGAGATCTCGTGAACTCACGACTTGTTTCAGGAACAGCTGCTAGAAAGGCGCCATCTTGAATACAATCCACCCGATTTAAAAATGAGAAGTCATTTCTTATAAATTTCACATAATAAATTTATGAAAATGATTTTAAAAAACACCAAAAGAAATAGATCGCCAAAGAATTATACAGATAATTTTCAGAATTATCATAATCTTTAAAGCTTTTCATAAAATTTTAAATGGCCTAATTTAGTAGGGCGCCGCCATCTTAACTCTTGTGGGCATTGGAATAAAAATGTCATTTAAAATAGCCGCTTTAACAAAACATATTGCTTTTAGATAGAAAAATTTCCCCAAACTTAAAGAATACTTTAAAAATAACTCCTACGCTCTTATAACCAAAATAAGATTCAACCCTTTGTATTTTATTAACTTTTAAAGAAGAAAAAAACGCGCTCAATAAACACAACAAAAGCCGCCATTTTGTAATATGGAGTAATACACTGTATATAAGGAAAATTTAAACACGACTTACAAGTATTGTATACGTGCAGTTCATCAACTATTCCTTCATTACCACCACCAAATACTATCATAAGATCTTTTATTGCAACTGCTCGATGTCCATGGCGCGGTCTAGGAGCCGGTCCAGAAGTATTAGTAACCCGTTTCCACTTCAATATGGGAGCCGCCATATTGAAAACTCAGATGCAATTTCTTATAAGACCCGTATGTGAAAACACAATTTACATATCATGTGACAGGTCCATAAACTCGTTTGTATTTCGAGATTAAATATTGTGCATATATTTATATTAAATTTTTGCTTAACTCTATAAATCAATATTAATATATTAGTTATTTCCATAAGTGCAATTAGAAAAAAGTTTTAATGTAATATAGTTTGTACCAACTGTGGAGACGAGAGGTCAAAGTTCGCTACCGGCCAAACAATAACAACATTCCTGAAGTTGTGGCGTCTGGCTCTTCCCTACATACAGTGTATTCTACTTTGACTTCAGTACCCAGTACTGACTAACGCAGGGGCGCCGATAGTAGTAATTAAGTAGTATATTTGCAGTGTATATTTGTCATAGTATGTATGTCATTATGTACTCACCAAATAACTCCCAATTTTAGTGCTGAACTTAATATGAATTTCACATTGAATTCCATTTTTTTTAGGAAAATCTTGGATTACTTTAAATTTAAGTCAAATTAAATTTGAAGACCAACACCTAAGATTCTAAGATCAAGACTTGTTGATTTTCGATAAGGGCTAAATCCGAGGATGGCTGCCACGCCGTCTATTGTGTGTTTATTATAGTTGTAGTGATTTAGGGTTTAGATTAGGTTGAGGGATCAATTTAGGGTTCAGGTTAGGGCGGCATAGGGATCGATTTAGGGTTCAGGTTAGGCATAGGGATCGATTTAGGGTTCAGGTTAGGCATAGGGATCCATTTAGGGATACATTCGTGAAATTCGATAAAATAGTGGCAGTCGTCCCCATTTTTTACCTGGATAAGTTTGAATTTGATACTTGATAATTTGATAATTTATGATAAACTGTAACTGTAAGCTTCTTAAAGCGAAGATGTCTTTTAACTTCTAATCTATAATTCTAAGGCAATTGAAATGGGTAGGTAGTTCGGTAAGATACGGGAAGTGCCGTAAACCGGGTATCGTGATTTCGTTGTCAAAATGGCGACCTCCACTTTTTAATTTACCGAGAGTCACGTTGTTTACGACTTTTTAACTATATATAGCCCAGCATGTTAATTCTATTTCCGCCAACAACTTAGAGTAGACATGTTGTGTTATGATTAGACACTTGAGTCCCCCAAAAAATTTTGGGGCTTCACTTTGAAAATTGAAGGTAAAATAAAGCAATTTTTACTCATTCATATTTTTTTTGTGGAATGGATCCTTTCTTTGAATTTCAGGGACTTTATAAATAATGGCATTAACTACAACATATCCAAGACATGCTAATTTAGGCCCAACCAGATGGTCAGAAATTTTCTCGGAAATTTTAATCACGTGTCCCAAAATTACCTTTTATCGTTAATATTTGTTGCTATGGTAAATAACCTGATTTATTCTGGAAATCCAGCCTATTACCTCCTAATAACTCATTTAAAAATAAAAAGGAAATAATTAATAAAACAAACACATATTTTTAATATGATTTGATGCTTTTATTGAGGGATATTAGGTTAAAAAAGCCTAATTAAATACAATTAATAATTAACTATTAGTTTTATATACTGTTATATGTATACTATTAACTATATAATATATATACATATAATATATATACATATATAATTATATATATGTGTGTATGTATATATAGAGGCCTAGAATAGTATTACTATTATAAGTGTAGGCCTATCCACCTCCCCCCCCCCCCCCCCCCCCCCCAAAAAAAAAAAAAAAAAAAAATATTTATTT